CGCGCTCGTCGCACGGTCGGTCGGCGCTCGACCGGCTGCGACGTTCGCGCTGCGGGCGCACGGATACTAGGGGATTGTAGTAGACCGCTTTCCTCCTCCGCTACGGTATCCCTTAAGAAAACTCCGCAGCTGCGCATGCGCGCCGCCAGCCTTCTCTGCATAGCTCAAGGTCTTGTGGCGGATTACGGATCGCTATCCGGGTGCTTAGCGGGCTGCGGAAACGGTCTACTATAATTCCCCACTGACGCGCCCATCGTTGCCCTGGATGGATACCCACTGACCTCGGCTTTGAATCTTTATTTAATGTGAAGCTGCCGACCCATTGCACTTTGGCTCGGCATCTGGATGCGCTTGGCGCTGGTGTGCTTGGTGACAATACTTGGACAACTCGGATACCGCTTGCCCGCCGGAACTTCCCGATGCACTCCAACACTAGATACTGTGCTGGTGCGTGCTGTGTGTGTGTTCCGTGCACCGTGTTTGGTGACGACCAGGGTTCCCAGGTGTTTGAACTCCAAACCGCCAAACGTCTACGAGATATAGCCCAAAAATAGCCAAATGTTGATCCAGAAAAATAGTCCAAAAAAAACTTATCATTTGAAACGTTTATTTTGAGCAGAAAAGACACATAATACATTTTTATCCATCAAATGCCCAAGAAATAGCGTCCCTTGCACGTTCGGCGAACTTCCTGAAGCGCTCGCAAGCGTATGAGATCATACCTTCCAGATTCCAGTGTATTGGGACGCTTACTATCGGGGCATGGTGACCAGGGTGACGTTACGGGAGAACTATGCAGAATTGAGCTCAAAGTATAAGAGGTATTCACTGGGTGCCATATTTGTGGGTGCTGTATAGAGCGCATGCTCAGAACGAGCCATAGAGATCATACATATGAACGAGCCCACAATAATAGGGTGCTAAGACCGGCAACCTTGATGGTGCGGAATGCACGTTACAAAAGAACTGTGGAAGCTCGCCATCATCACGCGCTCAGCAGTCGAGCACACAGCTATGGCCACCAGTGAATACTTCCTATAGGAGGTATTCACTGGACGCCATATTTGAGTGCGATGTTTAGAGCGCATGCCCAGAACGAGCTCAGATTAATAGCCTGCTAAGACCGGCAACCTTGATGGTGCTAAATGCACGCTCCAAAAGGACTGCGGAAGCTCGCCGTCAGCACGCGCTCAGCAGCCACGCACACAGATATGGCCGCCAGTGAATGCTCCCTATAGACGCTTTACACACGCGCCAAATTACAGCCGCCATTGCTGACCTTCTCTTGTCTTACCGAGATGCCTAGCAACTGAAACGGTAGTTGACAATCCTCTACAAAGGCCGGTGCTTTAGAAAAGGACACAGTTGAATCTAATATGGCAATAACGTGGCCTGCTATGGTAATGATGAAGTGAAATAAACGGAGTAAGAGGAAACAAAAACTGGAGGTCACCTATGGCGGCGTCCATGCACAGCTGCTGCAAAGCGTTTATAGGTGCACGCCAATCGACAGACAACCTAAAGAATGCGCAGAACAGGTGCTGTTAAGGCAGCAAGGAATCGCGCCGTCACTTGTTGAGATGGAGGAATAACAGCACATGCTTGCATTCGGACAAAATTCGGAGGTAAACAATTGCACCCAAGGCGCGCAAAAAGAAGACGAATTTGTTTGCTGTCGCAAACTTATCAGGGTTAAGGGACTGAAGCGCCAAATGTTCACGTAACTTACTCTAAAAAATACATTCGAACCTATAGACCCAAGTGCTTTCAGGCATTTTGGTTCCAGCACAGGTCAGAAATTGCCCAATGCACAGGTCAGAAATAGCCCAATACTAGCCAAATAGCCAACTACCATTTTTTCCCGCCAACTGCAAATAAAACTAGCCCAATTTGGCTATCTATAGTCTAACCTGGCAACCCTGGTGACGACGCGCGCCCTTCCTTCATTGTCTCTTGCAGTCGGCGGTTCTTCTCCGCTCCCGTCGGACTGCCGGCCGGCGGCGACGTTCGCGCTGCGGGCGCACGGATACTGACGCGCCCATCGTTCGTTGCCCTCATGGAGAATAGAAGGGTAGGAGAGGGCATGACGTCGGCCGCGTAGCCTCCACAAGCCATGCTCCCTTGACGCCTCGCCTCTTTCTCATTTTCCTCCTTACTCTCCTCACTTACCATGCCAACGTGACCACATCACGTGACCGAAGCTAGCCTTCGTCTTGCTATCGGCTACTAGAATACACCACAGTCTAGCCTTCGATATGATAAAACCTACCGGACGGAGCGCGCGCAAGCCTGCAAGGAGTCCTTCTACAATCAACCATCCATCTAACACGTGACATGTCACGCGCACCAATCGCCAGAGAGATCTGCGGTCACGCTGGGCACAAAATCGTTTAAACTTTTTATGACTAGGCTTCACCAATATTGCAACGTGCCCCCTCCTAGTACTTCTAACCTCCTTGGTTGCCCTGGATGGATGGGCCGAACTTTTGCCGAATCGAAAGTTCGGTGCCGAATCTTTGGATTCGGCAAAGCCGAACTTTTGCCGAACTTTTCTGAAGATTCGGCAAATATACATTGTTACCAGACTCGTCGATATTTCGTTTCTTTCTGGCAAATAAAAGGTTTTATATTTCTTTTTTTCTTAACTTAAATGCAACATGTTTACTAAATAAGGTGATATTCTGCAAGATAATTGTGTCGGTGTCGTTTTTGTGTGTTTATTGGCAATTTTAGTGACTCCTTACAGAAGTGGCATGACAACGAGGGTGGGTAGACGCGAGCGTGGCGGAGTCACGGATCACGCTACGAGAGTTTCGGTTTTGAGGCATCATCAGCGCAAGCCTGCATACCTGCATGTGTGTCTACATTGCTAAAATGAAGGCAATAAACGCTGCGTTCTTGCTTTCTCTGGGAGTCGACGTTCTGTACGCGAAAACAAATGCAACGGTTGCTGAGCCTTCACCAGATGAGAGAATAATAATATTGTAAATATGGATGTTTTCCGATTTGAGTCACTTGACGTCAGCTTTGCATGAAAGTGTGCGTCAAGTATTCGCAACGTCTCGTTTTTAACCTTTAAAATGGCTGTTTCTGGTGTTAGGACACACACGAACGTTTCGGAAGATATGGAGAGTGAATGTCGGATGTGCAATGTCGAGCATTATAGTTCTGTGTTTAGTTTTATGCAGATCCATGAAAATCGCGAAATAACAGTAACTGAAGAAGCCATATTATTTTGTTTTCGCACAAACGACACTTCTGAGCCGAAAAAAGAATTCAATGTCTCAATGTTTCAGAATGCGCCGCACCATTTGTCACTTGCGCACTGGACTGCGTAAATTACTGGTCGATCTTCTATTCTTGAGGCAGGAAATATTGAAGAGAACCACACTCGCTCACAAACTCACAGCTACCGTGTTCCCTACCCAACACCGCGCCGTAACCGCTGGTTGTACTACACTGCACGATGGTAACCGCACGACTGCACGGCGTCCATTTGCAATCCAAGGCTCTGTTGGCTCCGTCGCGTTCTCGCACGTGCGCAGACATTTGCCGAATTTTCGCCGAATCTTTGCCGATTCGGCAAAGTTCGGCATTTGCCGAACTTTGCCGAATCTGAAGTTCGGCAGATTCGGTCCATCACTAATGGATACCCACATAACCTCGGCTTTAGCTGCCGACCCATTGCACTTTGGCTCGGCATCTGGATGCGCTGGTGTGCTTGGTGACAATACTTGGACAACTCGGATACCGCTTGCCCGCCGGAACTTCCCGACACACTTAACACTAAATACTGTGCTTGTGCGTGCTGTGTGTGTGTTCCGTGCACTGTTTAATGGCGACGTGACGTCGCCTGGACGGCCGTGTGCGCCGCCATAATTACCGCTGCGCTCACCACTGGACTGTACAGAAGTCTTTTGTGCGATGCCCTTAGCCGTTACAAGCGAGAGATCGTCGCGATTTCAGACCCAGTCCGCCTGGGTCTGAAATCGCGACGATCTCTCGGTTGTAGCGGCTAAGGGCATAACACGAAATTCTTTTGTAGAGTCCAGTGGTCCTGGGTTTAAAATTAGGGCTGGAAATGCGCGGTTCCAGGCTGGATACAAACTGGTGTCCCAGTTTTGGGTCTAGGCGGAACCGGCATTTTTCATTCCGGCCTGAATCTGACATTTTCGTACGGGTCGCTTTTCACTGCTCCCTTCTGTTTTTTGTGGCACTTTTCACATGTGCTGTGCCAATAATTGATGCAATGACCGTAGAACACAAACAAGCTCATAGAAAAAACAGACTACCGAAATTTAGAAATTACTGATTTTTCAAGCTGAAATCTACTACTATTTTTTGGGGGGGAGCTGTGGCAACACTCTTTGTCGGCTGTTCTCTTCGCTGCGGGTAGCACACTCTACATCGGCCGCCTCCCGCCTCCCGCCTCCCCCCCCCCCCCCCCCCCCCCCCCAAAAAAAAAAAAAAAACCTTTCAAGTGCAACTTTTTGGTTTTAAGAAATGCAACATGCACCTGTTTTTGTTTTGAATGAAACGTTTTGTATTCGGCAGAATGACAATTATCAGGTCAGCAAAAGAGATCTGGGCAATGCTTCACCCATTCATCCGTCTGCAGAAACCCCTCCCCCCACACACACACACCCGGTCAGACCCATAAATCCACTCCTGGACTTGCGTTCAACGAGTGTGAACACTTGTTCCAGCTTTCGTGTTGCCCACGTCTACAGTCCGCAGCAATACGAGTTGACATGTCAGGCACCTGCAGAGAGGGGAAAGTGCTGTGTGGGCTGCCTCCGGCGTGATAAGCCACACAACATGCTGCTGCTACGCAACAAGAGGGACGGGGGTAGTGCTATCCATTGAGCAGATTAATGTGCACCCTCCCATCATGGCATGTCCGTGCTCCGGCCTGAATGCCTGAATGCCAGCTCGTATTGCTGCCCCCTGCATGACCGTTATGCCACTGCACTTACTGGTGAAACAAATCTCAAAAAGCGTGGGAGCAAGTCTGTACACCCAGTTTATTTGCCTTGTCAACTACTTGCAATCTGAAAAAAAAAAAAAAAAAAAATACTTGACAGTACAAACATCGGCTTAGGTCATCATTTTTTTTTTTACAAATATTGTACAAATGCTACACACTGCATCACCTAAGCACACACACTTTCCTGGAGATTAATCTTTGCAGCATGCTGCTTTTTATTTTCTTTGCTCTTGGGGGACATCACATTCAGGGTTGTGTGCTATCAGATACTGGATGCATGAAAGGCAAAATGTTGCTAGGCCTTGTTTGGGTCGATTGGAAAATGTTGCAACAACAACGTACAACCGAAGTTATTGCTGCTCTGAAACTGAGGTGAAGATTTTAATAAGCAGACTAGCTAGTGCCCCGCCTCTTGCATTGAAGCAGTGCTTGACAGAATCGTTTCCACAAAACATCCCGCCAAAAAAAAAAAAAAAAAAACAGTTCACAGTTGGAAAATAGTCAGGAGTCTTCCTCAACTGACCAAGAGGGGTCCTGGGCTCGCGAGCACGACACCACAGCCAATTATTGTTCCAAAACGCCGCGTAAATTATACTCTCTAGTGTAACCATGTCCAATGCTTGGAAAAAGTTGCTTCGAGAGACGTTGAGGTTAAAGCTGCTGCTTAAGCTAACGACACAGCCAAAAGAATAACACTTAAATTACTATATGGCTTCATTAGTTATAGCATGCAAACTGTGTTCTTCCCAAATGATATGCCATCATAATAATCCGACCAGCCAAAGCATGTTTTGGAACCAATCATGGTATTACAAACCCCCAGTACATCCAGATCAACTCAAGCGCTGGAAAACCTCGCCCAAAAAAATTAAATTAATCGGCTGAAAGTATTGGTAGCCCATCGTCTCCTCTGAACACACATTGACTTTACGTCACGCGACAATGCTCTGTCACTTTAATTAACTTATTCCCATATGTACATATCAACAGCCCATCGGAAAGCAAAAAGTAAGGAAATGAAAACACTAAACCTTACAAGATAGGCATGAAATTCCGACCAAGTTGACTGCACGTAGACGAATTAGCTTTGAAACTTAAATTAAAATATGTACACCGAAGAACATCTTGAAATGTCTCGAGACATCCCCCCAGAACGATGCAAATATTAACATGATGAGAACAAACAAAACGCTGCAGCACTATAAACAAAGCTAAAAGAAAATAGGAATTAATAAACATAACGAAGGACAACACATTCCAGAACACAAGAAATGCTGTGGCCAGTGCAGTAGTGCTTCGAGTTCTCGTTGTTACCATTCTTCAAATTTAAAGAGTAATGCGCCAATTCAGCTCGATGGAAACACTGCTTTAACTGCAAAAAAAAGTGAAGTTTGTAGCTAAGGTAGCCATGGGCTAAAATTGAACTCCAATACAGGAATCTGAAAAGGAGCATTTCAGAAGCTTGACCAAAATAATGCTCCCAACAGTATGCCATTACATCAGCGGTACGCAACATCAAACACGATTGAAGTATGCATGTATCTTAAAATTCTCATGAATTACCTTTAAAATAATTTCAGACACTTTCAAAATTATTTTGAAAGCAGCTGTCACTCTGCCAAATGTGCCCCGTTTTCGGTGCTTATTCAATCAAATGCTCAAAACTTGTTTTTTTTTTTTTTTTTCAGCGATACCAAAGAAATAAAAATAACCTCTCAGCTCGTTAGTCTAGGTTTATCACCAAAGTGTAAAAATAACCAGAATTGTGCAGCAGCATTACCGCAGGTGTCCGCAAAGAAATGCCACAGACGAGGTTTAAAGATGACATACACAATAGAACACATCCTTCCGAGTCTTCTCCAGTCACAAAATTTCCAAAATTCCTTATGCTTGTTTAGCTGGATGTAACCATCACAAAATACGAACAGACTGTGGAGGTTCTTGGCAAACCAGCATCGCTGCAGTCGTAAACAAAACAATTTGAAAACGTACCATTAATATAATGCCCCGAAAATAGCAGCATTCCCGTGTGCACAGGTGCCCAGTTACAACCGTCATTATGCACAAACTCGATGAGGCAACGATGAAAACATGCAATTTCACTTCAGATCAGCCTTCAAAAACACCAGTCTTGTGCATTTCTGGCACACAAATTCCAAAATCGGAAAACTTGGACGGGACAATTCACACAAAAAAACAGCTTACCATCAAGTCAACTTGAAACTTTGTATCAAATATGATCTCGCATGCCTACATTCGGATCCAAGTCTTTGTTATTCTTACACAAGCTCTTGCATGGTGCAACTCAAAGGGCTGCCCAGAAATGTGATGCCATAAATATAATCGAAAACTAAATATGAAAAAAAAAAGACCCCTTTTAGAACGTATTTCAGAAAGCATCAACCATACGTTGCACGTTGTTGAGTGGACAAGAAAAGGATTGTAAAAGATCTCATCTGGAGAAAAAGCTGACCAGAACAGATTGAATGTCAGGCATCTTTCCAGATACCTCAATGAGATAATACCACCAACGTCCTTATCATAAAATAGTAAACAATCCTGCAAAGATTATGATGTGGATGCATTAAAATTTGCTTGAGCCTTGCACCTTCCATTGAGTTCGGAAGTTTACAAAACACAGAGGGCGGGCACGCCAGTATTTTTTGAGAAGCGTTAGAGAAATTAATCAATGCATGTAAGTAGGCTGTGCTGTTTTATGAAACTTGGCAAGAAAAAAAAAGTGCCACAAAAGCTACTACGTCGGACATTCTTCGTCGAAATCAGTGGAAACAGTCACTGGAAATCCAACTGACTGTTTTATAGTTTGCCATTTCATTCCTGGCACTCACATACAAACACCAGTCAAGGCAAGGCTAAGTGCGCAATAGGTCCAGGCAACAAAACAAAAATTAACATGTGCTCTGCATTCAATGCCCTGGTCCTGTTGTAGTTTTTTCTTACCACTGCTATATTTTCGTTGACATTAACTTAGAGCAATATTTAAGAAATCAATATTCACAGTGGTAGCCTCGCTTGGTGGCATATCATACCGAACTAATCTTTTCAACCTGCTCCGATTAGCTGCTTTCCAGTAGTATAGGCAGCAATTCAATCCATCTCAAACGTTGTATACAGAAAATATCAATGCCCTCCTCAAAGATGAGACACGCCATTAGGAAGTACAAAATTCAAAACCAGACAACCAACCAAAACAAAAAGAGATAACAAAAAGGGCAACTTCCATTTTACGGTATGTTAATAAACTGTCAGCCATGACACAAAAAAAATAAACAGACCCGGTCAGACGAGACAAATGTACTACGGTGTTTGGCGCTATATGGCGATGCTAAGGCGTCGCGAGTTGGCTTTGTTACGTCCGTGAGCGGATGTGACAGGGCAAGGCTGGGCCCACAGTGCCCTAGGCCTAAAACAATAAAAAGTATTATGCGAGGCAGTGCTTAAAAGAAAAATAAGCGTGATGGGATAAAGCCATCTACTAAGATGAGTGCACCACATCCGAACTAACGCACTTCTGGGCAGCTCTTCAAACGCACCCAACAGAACCCGTACCAGACAAAAACCATCAGCACGGCAGACTGACATGAATGCCGGCGCCGAGGCACCGGCACCACCACGCTAAAGAAAACCAGACAACACAGCAGAGAAACGGCAGACGATGAGGGACGATGGTGCACACTAGGGGAGGGGGGGGGGGGGAGTCACGCGATGGGAGAGGAACATTCGAGACCATTCAAACAAAAGTCTTTGGCCAGGGCCCAGACCGAGACCCTAGTGGACTAAACCCGGGGCTTGGATTCTAGTCTTTCGCCTCGCGACGCCACCCCGCTAGATGATGCTGGCCGGAAGTTTGTCGAAGACGTCCGACCGCTTGGACAGGCTTCCCCGGCGCCGGGAGAGCGTCGAGAGCTGGTTCGCGTCAGGGCCGCCGCTGTGCAGAAGCAACTCGTGGACCTCAGGGCTGCTGGCGCCCTTGGCGTACGCCAGCGGGGTTCGGCCATCCGAGTCCACTGCCTTGGCATTGGCGTTGTTCTGCGAGGTCGGCAAAAGGGGGGAGGGGAGTAAGGTTAGCGGTGGTGTGGCACAATCAAATAGTTACAATGAGAATACATTCTACCTCCACTCATCTGCATTAGCAATGATGGAAGCGGCACTCGACCTTTTGTAGCAGGTTCTGTAGCAGACAAAACACTGGTTAGAAGCAGCCACTGATGATTGATTAAATGATTGAGGATTCCCCCTTGATACTGAAGAAAATTACTTATTAGCTTTTGTAATAAGAACAGATAGGGCTACAACAGAGCAGAGACCTTCTTTTTAGAAATAATGCCCCGTTCAGAGTAGGATTCATTTTCAATGGCTACTAAAATGGCTGAAAAATTAATCAGAGCAACACTTCAGTTAGGATAAAGCCTTTCTCCCCTCCCACTTTTACACCTGGTAGTTTATTAAGCCTGTAAATAGCATTTCCTTAACCCTTTAAGTGCCTTAAATGAGCTGGGCTCGTCGGCCGCTTTTTGGCTAAAAATGTCATGGACGAGCCAGCTCGTCCAGTGGTTTTTCCGGTAGCCCTCAATTCCACAGACGAGCTAGGCTCGTCTGAGTAGTTTGCGGCGCTGATCATAGATGGCAGCACTCGTTTTAGTTGGCATGTTTTTTTTTTTTTTGAAAATGCAATGCACGGGCCGACGCCGAAATCTGGACGAGACAGATATCGGCACAAAGCGCCGCGCCTGACACGAGGTGACGCGGACGCAGACGAAGAGTGTGAAAAACGTTCCACATGGTTGGGCCTTTAGAAAGCAGAATGCCGGCGTTCGCATTTGAATGCGTTCAACGAGGGCAGTGGACACAAAGGCAGCTAGCTTTAGGTCTTCCCACTTATCATTCCAACCAGAGCTGGGCGTTCCGACGTCCCCAAGCACTCTCGTCTCCTCCTCTCCCTCAGTTTCTCGGCACATCACATACTTCGTTTGACCATAAAGGGATACTACAACGAAATTTCGGCCCTCATTTCTTGGTCTATATGTGTTCAAAGGAGCAGTATCACATCAAACACACCAATATCTTGTTAGAAAAAGTCACGAAAAGGAATTTCAAAACCAATTAAATGATTAGCAAAGAGCACCTGGTGGATGTCGCTAACGCCTCGTTTGTAATACCCGTCTAGGAACCTTGAGAGGTAGTGACGGTAACTGTCTCGCCTCCGGCCACGACGAGAAAAGAGGGGCAGGAGGAACTCCCCTCTTCCCGAGAATCCCTTTTGTGTGATCCGGAGGTCGCTATTGTCTCTCTACAAGATTATAGAAGATTAACCCGTCACTCAAAATTCATAAAAAAGCAGCCGCTTCGGTGGCTGGAACGACTAGGCCATCCTCTTGACGTCAGCCTTGCCGCAGCTTTGCTCGTCCCAAGACGAACTACGTCACCATTGCGTTGCATGTCACGTGGTCTCCGCTGGCGCTTGCCAGAGTGGACCGTTTATAACGACAAATACAGCCACCAGGCTCGAAATAAAAACGTGTGATTGTCATTTACAGATATTGTGGATCATATTCAACCTATTTTTGAACACGACGAGTATATATTAAATTTTGTTGAAGTATCCCTTTATTACAAAGAGCAACTGATGCTACGAGCCAATGAGACCAATTAAACAGCGTCAAACTGCGATATTATAGCATTCGTCCAATTTCCTGTAAGTGTTCCTTCATCGGCTCAACAAGTAAAATGCAGCGAATGTTCAGTGACTTGCGCTTTTAGTGTGTGCATTCAAGGTTCTATGTGTTCGAGCCCTTGATTGTGCTCTGACCTAAGGTGAGAAAAACTTTGCATGCGTAGAGACGCTGTGAAATACATAATGTACCATTTTCCTTGCCTCTTCTTTGTATATTAAAGGGGCCCTGCAAAGACGTTTTGACTGGTTTTTAATTTGCACCAAACCTGAGTGCACTGAACGTAGTAACTTAATGAAACCTTTCTTTTCTAAAATTTCGCTTTAAGTTATAGGCAAATTAAAATGACAAAAACAAGCAAAAAATAACCTCCATCATGACGTCCTTGGTCGCTTGAGTGGCCGAGAACTAGAGGAGGGGTATTGAGCTCAGTGAGCGCTCATGGCTACCAAACTCCATGACGACAGCTCGAGAGGGCACAACTAATGCATGCGCTGGATAGACTGTATGAAGCAGGCGGCCAGGGCGGCTCGCATTGCATTTGCTGAGAGATTAAACACTAATTCGGCATGGCACTTCATTGGCCACAAACGACAGCAAACACGCGGTAAAGATCAGTTCAGAACGGCAGCCACTTCACGCTGCCATGCCGCCAAACGGCCAAACCGGAAGCCAAACTCGCTCGCCAAAGGCCTTCGAAACGCTCGGAACCGGTCGGATCCTCGAGCCCGTATACGAACGCAGTGCCGCCGTGTACATCCAGGACCTTTCTACACTCGCTGCTCGTTGGTGCCTGATCCCACTACTCCTTTCTAGTATGCACCCCCTTTTCCACCGCTTGGTGGCGGGTATGTCGACGGGTCAGTTCTTGTTTCCGTACTTTATAAACTGCATTTGTTTCTTTTCTGATCTAAAATATTGAACAAAAACTACTCTCATAAATAATTCAAACAGATCGCGCCACTTATATTTTGTCTTTTGACTAAAAAGAAGCTTTTCGCGGCTCTGACCAGTTGTAAGGCCAGGACCAAAGACTTCACATATTGCGCGCTTTTGACACCGCTGGTCGCCCCTGTTGGTGGAGGAAGTTTCCGCGTTGTCCGGTTCAATTACGACGCACTGATATTTAGTTACCCTCTCCGTGCCCGCTGGCTTGCCCGAACCCCAAGAGACGTGGAAACCGCAAAAAAGTTAGACGCTTAAATATGATTGCAGGGCCCCTTCAAAATCGACCAATAATAAAAAAATTTTAAAAATTCTTATTTCGGCGCAGGTGTGGCGCATTTTTTAGCGAAAATGGTAATTGGTGCAAGCTGTAGCAGACTTTCGTTCATGGCACAATTCAGCACGAATGGCGCACCACTTCTATCACTGCATAGACAGTGCACCTACAGCACCAAATCTTCCCTCAGCGGTGTGGCACTCCATATGTGCACGTCGCGCTGTCCACATTGTTGCGATTTCGTGCCGTGCCGAGGGGAAAGGGGTTTTGCTTCAAACCGAGATTCTAGAGTAGTTGAGACGGAGATGGCTATCTTGACGGGTTTTCACAATGAAAGATGGCGGCAGTCACCCCTCCCGATTCGAAGAGGAAAACCGCTAGGCTGCATGAGTCCAGCCATTCCAACTACGCAAAACCTGTCAGTGTCAGGGCCACTGGATTTTCGCGGAACAAAATGTATTCTTTAGTAAAGTATTCAGTAGAACCTTTTGAATGTTATGTGCCAATACAACGGAGATGCGGATAGTACAGTGCGAGCAATGTTGAGGAGCACCAGTAATACTGGTGCGGGCATTGAAGCTGCTGACACGACGAGGATGCCGATGTAGAGAATGATTTTCCCCGAAAAACTAGCTCTTTTACGGCATTAGGGCATTTTGACTGTTGAAGGAGAGAACTGCTCTTAGAAATCTTTCAACAGGATACAGTAAAACCTCATTTATTTGACCCACATTTACCTGGTAATTCAAAAAGCCAACATGTTCCCAGTAAAAGTGTGTATCAGCCTATGATCCCAAATACTCATTAGTCGAGAAGGATATGAATGCACACTGGCTAATTCGTATATGTTCCACGAGGAGAGCAGAGGAGTGGTCTCTCATTTTGGTCCTCCAAGGATTGCAGAAAGTGACCGCCGCTTTCGTAGGAGACACAACGGGTGCAAAGACGGGCAGCGGCAGTGCGGCACCGCAAGCGCTACTTTGGCCTGACCGATTAGTTACACTAATTTTTACTCAGGATGTCTACATCAAGTAGCCTCTAGTCTACAAAAGCAGAGTAGTAGCCCATTCCTTGCTGGCTACGGTTCAATTTGAATGTACAGAGCCGCCATTTAGAAGCAGCCGATCGTGACGCAACACCATTCCCGATATGTACTGCTGGTCAGCAACGAGGAAGAAAACGGCTGCAAAGCGAGCACCAAGCAGAAAAGTGCATGCTGTGCGACAAACTCGTTCTACTGACGCCATGATAGGTGGCAGGCTTCTTTCGTTCCCGTAAATAAATGCGGGTCTTTAATGGAAGGAACCTATTCCAAAACGAAGCGCAAGAGTTGCGACAATCCGGGAACATTCGGCGGCTTCAGGCTCCATTTCAACGCAACCTGCGACGCTCCAAGCAAGGAAAGCAGCCCCGAAACACAGTTTGCGTTAAAATAGGGCCGCACAGAACACATTTCCGACCGGTGCGTCTGGCGTCCCGTTGCGCCCACACGTCAAAAGTAATCTCGAAGCGACGACGAATGACGCCGCGGGAGCCGGCATGCCACGTCATCGGACATTGCGATCCCGGCAGTCGGTCATAGAAGTTCTAGTGGGAAATACAAGCAAATGCGAACGTCGTCCAATGTCATCGCTGCGTTTTTGCTCATCACCACCGAAGTTTCCGCAAACCGTCACGACGAGAGCGAGCCCCAACGAACGGGCGTCCGCTGCATCCGTCTCTGCCGCTGTGCCACCGCCAAGATCGCGCCACCTCCACGACACCGTTGGCCGGAAATCGAAAAACCACCTTTGAGGATGCGGTAAACGCAACAGTCGGAGACTCGCCCCGGGTACCGCGCCGGTCCGTCGGCCAAACGTTGCCGTCATAGACGACGTAGTTACCCCCGGCATGAGCCGGATGAAACGAGGTCGAACGATTGCGGCACCGTCGAAATTTGGGTGCATTGGTTACGGATCAAAGGGTCATTCCGGCCGTTTTCTGAGCTACCCAAAACAAATTAATTGCCTTTTCTGAATACCCGGACTTTAGACTTCGCGGTACAACATTTAATATCTCGAAATTCGAGACAGCTGTTGAGAAAACCGTAAATGGAAATGATGCCGAAACCAACGTTCAAATTTCCGCGCGCTCTCCGGTGGTGCCACGTCCCAAATGGTACAGACTTTCGGGTCGCGCGGGTGGTCTTAAACGGAGTATATCGGGTGTTTTTTCGTGCTTCTCGGTGATGGAGCTTCCGAGCGTTCTGTTCTCACTGCAAACGTCTTGTGATCAGTTGGGAATGTGGTTTACTGCCCACAACGTACCATTTCTGTCGTCACACTTCAATGTTGCCAGTAGGGGATCTCGCTCTTAAGAAACACTAGGCATGGGCGAATAGAGGATTTCGGGTCCGAATTGAATTCGAAGCGAATAGTGATTTTGGCCGAATAATTTCAAATCGAATAGTTTGAACAGTACAAGCAAGAAATACCACAAGATATGTTTAAACTATAGTTTTATATTTGCACTTATTTGGTATTAGAAGTACTGCAATTGTTAATTTCAAGTGTATTGAGTTCGGGAGCAGGAAATGGTCGGAAGCTTGCACCACCTGGCCGGAAATCAAAGCCAGAGTAAGTCAAACCCGTTTATATCGAACTCGCAAAAAAAGTCTACTAGTTCGATATAGCGATATAAAAGTTTTAATGAATTCGACTCTCAAAAATACACTTTCTGCTGAAATATTACACAATGAAGTAGTCTTGCACCTTCTGCTGCTTTTTCTTCACTGCATCCGCAAAAACGATATTTTTCTACGCTATCGACGGACTCCAAAATGCTGAGGCCGCTGCATTCTATATCCGCGCATTAGCGCCGAACTATGCTGAGAGCATGGAGCACGTCCAAGCAGGATCACCTTCTCCTACGGAGCGCCGTTTTGCTCTGCAAGTTGGCTTTCCCCTACGGCAGGTGGCTGTTTAGGGGAAGCCAGCTAGCATAGCAAGCTGGCTTTTTTTTTCTTTGTTTTTCCCGGCTGCCGCATCAACCGCTTAAAAGGAAAAATATAATATTCTCTTTTGCGGACGGAGCAGCAAGAGGGAGCACGGAGCACCTTCTCTCCGCTCCCCCCGCAAAAGATATTTTTTCCTTTTCTTCCAGGCGGTCGACGCGACCGCCCGGAAAAAAAAGAGAAAAGCCAGCGTGCTCTGCAAGCTGGCTTTCCCCCAATGCGGCCGCGTGCGTTTGGGAAAGCCAGCTTGCAAAGCAAAACGGCGCTCTTGGCAGTTATCGGTAGCGGCTGCAATTTTGGTTCGATGTAACCATAGTTTTTGCTATATATTATCACTGTAACATTGCTGTGTACAAAAACTGTTCGATATAAGAAATCATTCGATGTAAACGGCTTTGATATAGTTGGGTTTGACTGTATTTAGAAAGGTTGAATAATTCTATAATGTCGAATAATTCGACTTTGTCGAATACTTAGATTCGATTCGAAGCGAATGCCGAATAGAACAGAATTCGATTGGCTATTCGTAATAACCGAATATTCGCCCATCCCTAAACACCATGAAAACGAAAATAAAATATTTATTAACTTTGCGAAAAAAGCTTTTCAAGCAATACTTGGGGGTTTGGTACAGCAGTGTCTATTGGCGTATCGAGCGAATTTTGAGACAAATCAACGACCATAAAACGATCGCTGGAGTACCCCTTTAATTAAGAAACCAAGAATGGCACGAACAAAGAAGAAAGGGAAGCAGCACTCCATTTGCCTATTTCTCCCCCTTCATCCATCTCCGCGCGGTTTTTAGCTCCTTCAGAAATTAAACGAAACTTTTTCGCGCCGTCTCTTCCCTCTCTGGAGTTCGACGGTCCTCACCCAGAGCAGCAGCTGAACCAGGGCCAGGTGCCCCAGGGTGGCAGCCAGGTGCAGGGGCGTCCTCGAGTCCCTGGGGCCCCCCGGAGCGTTCACCAGCTCCGTCTGCCGGGGAGCCGCGTGGGCCAGCAACGCCGCCGCCTGCCGGACGTCCCCCCGGCACACGGCCTCCCGCAGCTGCCCCGCCGTGGGAGGGTTGGCCAGGGGCGTCAGGAACTCCCGCTGCTCATACTTGGCCCGGATCCAGCGCTCCTTCTCGTCCCGGCCGGACGTGGGACAGGGCTTGGTACAGCCCCGGGTACTTCCTTCCCAGAGGGCGTTCGCGGCGGCATTTCCCAGGGCCATCATCACCGCCACGTTGCCGGGCCTGGGGGGCAGACGGGCAAGAGTCACCGGGGCTGCTCGTTCACATGTTCTGCATTTTCCGGCGTATAAGCGGCGTCCTTTTCCCTAATTTTTGTCGGTGTGTCGACGGTCCTACTGACACACATTTTTTAAATAATTGTGGAACTGTGCAAGGCGCAAGCTGCATCGACATTCATGCATTTATGACAAAGGAGGAACGGCGGAGCACCCGCCGACGGCCCACTCTTACGACGTTCCAGAGCATTGTGGCATAGTCGTTGGCTGCAGCAACTCGGCGCGACATCCTTCGCAGCACTCCATTAACTCTGTCATTTATGTCTACCAACCTTTTCATGAAAACTGCTCTTTACAGAGGGGTGCGACTTATACACCGACTGAACTCCGTTCCCCTTGAGACTTCCAGTATCAATGTCGAGCCTCGCAGCCATTGTCCACGCTTTTGCTGCCCGATCAACCTCGCGACTGAAAATAACGAGCAGAGTCTCATCATGAGAATCACACTTTTAATGTCTATTCTGCGGTTACACGCGGAATGAATTGCCGCACATCACATTGTTTACAGAAAGTATTGCATTGTAACGAGCCTCGTTAATTTTGCACGGGCCACTAAGTAGTAAGACATTGCTAGGAAGTCGTAAAACCAATAATTCCAAGGCGAAAAATAGCGGGGGACTCCCATTGATGCCGACAACATGACATTCCAATGGTTCGTAGATGCAGGTCGCTGCGCTTCTAACCCACACCTCATCGCGCATGCGTGGCGCCGGTGGCATCCCGCTAGGGGCACTCCGGTTTGTTTGTAAACGTGAGTCTGTGAATAGAGTGAAAAATACCGTAGTTTCTAGACACTGTGCAACTTCTTGCTCTTTCTTTTGTATGTTTAACATTTGAAGAGCATTGCGTAATATGCTCCCCCAGTTGTTGGTCCACACGCACATAATATAGTCCTTCGCAAGATGCCTAGAAAAACTTCTTAGAAATCACGTTCGTTTATATTTCGCAACCCATACGTAACCGATCGATCACAGTTGCAAATATGTAGGCATACTGCCGCAGACTACTTACACTTCGTGGTGATTTAACTTTTCGAGCAAATAAAACAGTTTTCGGTAAAGACTGATCACGCAAACACATTGCCAAAATATAGAACCCAAATTTAACTGAAACGGCAGTCCCTTCTTCGTTTTGTTAAGTATTTCAACATTAGTCCATTGTCCAATTTCTATAACATTATGCCCCCAAACATTCAGTCACTTACAGTATAACGGACAGGCACAAAAACAATGAAGCCTCGCTGGCAAGTGAAAGTATGACATTGCAGTTCTCAAGGTAATGAGATCAGTGATGGAATAACGTAAAATTGGGGGGGGGGGGGGGGGGGGGGTACAAACTGTATGCAGGCAGCCTAAAAGCTCACTGAGGAGCGGGACCACCAACGTTCACTCCCGACAGCCAGGGAAAAGGGGAAGAGGGGCGAGGAGAGGAGGCGTCCACTCACGGCCAGTCGTCCAGGTCGAGAGAGCGCACCCTGGACATGTGCGAGCCCAGGTTGCGGTGGATGCCCGAGCACTCTATGCAGATCAGCGTGCCCAGGTTCAGACTCGCCCAGTCCGGGTCTGCATGAGGGCACAAGGTCAAAATAAACGTGTACGACGCTCCTCGCACGTTTCATTTCTGTTCTCCTAATGGCTCTCGGTGTAAAGCCACATCGCTAAAAATAAATGAAGAATGAATCAGTACTGATGACCCTTTCAAGAACCCTCATTTCATGCTGGGGCCATTGGTGGATGGCAGGGGCAACTAAATGTGAGCTTTAGGAAAGGGCAATACACATCAATTATGTCCTTTTTTTTATCTGCTCAGCATTTGCTTTATCTCAAATCTTTCTGGTAAACAAACTAATATGATTATTAAAACAAACGGCACAGACAAACAGGATGGAAGAAAGAGGACACAATCGCCGATTGCATGTCCTTTGATTACCAACACGCTGAAGCCAATTACCAACATGCTCAAGCTTCCATTTTGAACAGAAACCAGTACTGAACCAAAACGAACAGTCGATGTGGATAAACGTTTTTGCATTAAATCAACGGCTTTTACAAAAAAAAAAAAAAAAAGCCTGAAACTAAGTTTAAAACAAACTAGAAACAAAAAAAAAAAAAAATGAGGCATCCTAATGGTTTTACGGGACGACGAGAATATATTTTTAAAATGTAACTCTGTACAGGAGCCATCAGTCTTTCTTGCGAAAGCGATGCTCGCCAGGCAATGCAGAAAGGTAGAAACAATGTTACAACAGAACCTCGTTGATATGTTTTTCAAGGAACCGCGGAAAAAAAATGTATCAACCGGGAAAACGTAACAACCGACAATGCACTTAGGGGGGCTTTACATGAGATAGAAAGCAGCTCTTATACAATGGTTAATTTTATGTGTACTTACAGAACTGATCAGGACTCAGACACTCAAACTTTGCGTGTTTTGCCCTCCAAGCCCTGGTTGATAAAAAAGAGCTTTTGCCTCAATCTCCTTTCGTTTGGCGACAATGCAGTTCAAAGTTGGCGGAGCGAGTCCGAGGTCTCCTGCGATATCGGATCTCTTCCAGCTAGGATTGCAAACCACCGTCTGAAGTATATCAAACTTCTCTTTAAAAGAGAGTACCTTCCTTTTTCGCGATGCCATGACCGTCGTCAATGGGCGCAAAGCGCACATACTCCGAAACACCACGGTTCACGCAATCCAGTGGAACAGAAACTGGAAGCACAGAGTGCATGCGGGTGTACCTCGTGCCAGAGAAAGAGAAGGACAGATGAATGAGAGAACAAGAGAGAATGAGCGTTTGCTGCCTGCCAGCCTTGCTCCCCGTCAGAGAAGTGCTCCAAGGTCACAACCGGGCAAGGTGGGGAGCTGTGGCAGAGCTTAGCAAAGCCCAGTGAGGAGACAGAGAAACGGAAAAGAGGGGGAAAGGAGTAAAGGGAAGACGGGCGTCTGCATGCCCACGCGTGCTGTGCGACCCGCACTCCATGGTTCGGCTTTGCTCCGCTAGTTTTGTTGGTCGAAGCCAGCGTGGCAGCCTGGCACTTGCGTGCCAAGGCGCCACGATGCCGACACTTTTGGACGTAAAATTCAAGAAAGCAAACGTAACAGGCAGGAAACAAATACATGTATCTCTATGGAAGTAAAATGGGACCGGCGCTTTTGAACGTAACAGCTGGGAAAACATATCAACCGAGAATGTATCAACAAGGTTTTACTGTAGTACACAGCGCACACAGATTTTTTTTCTTTGTGGAGGGCAATAAATGAGAGTTTGCTCATCAAACCATTCAGTAGACTCCTGATGCCTCTTTCTTCATACATATATAAAAGGTGGCTCGACATGTAATCCTAACATAAATATCTCTGCATGCCACCGAATGCAAACAGGTTAACAGGACAGGCAAGTATGTGAAATTATAGCCAATGGTGGTGTTCGGAAAGGAACCTCCTCAAAGCCTCACGCCTGACTAGAGCGACAAATGCAAACAAACACCAGCAAGCCTCAAACACACACACGATGTCCACGAAGGTACTTTTGGCAAGCTTGCAATCACGCACGCTTTCTTCACGGGCACCGAGAGAGCCTGGCAAAGGCACAATCGCGAGCACGACGCACGTGTTTTAAGCTTGTCAGCATTGGTTGCTTGTTATTTCTGTTTGTCGCTCTAGTGGAACTCGAGCATTAGAAGGGCAAACGAAGCTCTGCCAAAGGCTCAACTTCTTCGAGGTTAAACCTTAGCTCAGAGGCAAAATTCTATGATTTAGCTTCTGGGGGCTCATTTACAGGAGTTATTCATTATGGTATTCTAAACTAGCACGAAGGGTGTGTCAGACATCCGAGTGCGCAGTCAAATAAGGAAATGGCTCTACGCAACTCCAGCGTCGCAGGTGCCATCAAGCGCTGTTACAAAAGATGAGGGGAAGGACTGGAAAAATGAAGGGCAGGAGCCCAGCAAAGTAGGGATGATCCGGTTTCACAGGGGTCGCGACAGAGTGGCACACAGAAAGACGGCAACCAGTCCTCACGTGGAGTATCGCAGTCGGCACAATGAGAATTCCCAGGAACGGCGGTCCGAATCGCCTGGACGGATGTCGCGGTGTCTGCTATGCTGTTCATCCTCCCCTGCAGGTAACGAGAAAGCCGCCGTAAAGTCAACCCTCGTCAGCACAAATTCGCAGCTCGAAGCACTTGTCGGGACGTTATTCTATACTCCATCTCTCACTAGGTCCGCGCAGCACTATCAAATGACCGGGAGTGTAACCTAAGCAGTCAAAGAAGGGAAGGTTTTGTCTATCCTCTCGTAGCTTTTTCAGCCCTCCGGAAATTAGCCTGCCACTTGAAATTTGTACAAAAGTGGCTTTGCTCGCTCTCCCGCCAATGGCTTTCACAGCACTGCATGCAACTAAAGGGATAGACCGTATGTTCCCAAGGTTTAGGTTTTTCAACTTTCTTTACTCTACAACGTAATAAAATCGCAGTTGCGACAGACTACCGCTACTGAAATACAGTTTGAAAGGCTACAGAGTTTGGTATGAATGGGTAGCCTCACACACTAGCAAAACATTAAGAAAATGCCCAAGGACTGCCCAACAAGCAGCCATACAAAGGTTTTCTTTGCAGCGCACAAATGAACTGCGCAACACAGAATGCTAAAACATCACTGAAAAGTACCTCCACCGATAGTGCCCGGATGCAAAAAAAACTTCAGCTCAATATTTTTAGAAAATCAAAAGTTAAAGGCGGTCCTTTTCCGTGAATTTTAAAGGGAAGGCCAGAGTCCCCTCTTGGCAGCAAATGTTAGTCAAAGTATGTCCCGTCCCGTCTGGGAAAGAAACAAGCTTGCGACAATTAGCCGTCTAAGTGGTGTTCACACAACATACTCTATTGCCCTTTTTTGACAACTCCAGCCTTTTCTCGTTGGTATAACTCGTTTTACTAGGGGCTCTCCGGGCGATGCCAATTTGTTTGACTGCAGTATCATCCACATACAACCGTTAATTTCGACGGATTCGGCGAGGTAAGAAGAGGGAAAGGGCGTGCGCCCAGTCCCGGTAGCAGAAGACAGACCAGCCGTTCTGAACGTTTTGGGGAGTTCCAGCGGGCCGTACAGTCGGAACCGCCCAAACATCGCGGCTCCGTTTGCCTCTTTCCCCTCGCCCAAGCGGAACGGACTACCTGAAACGGCTCTCCACTCCGCACACAAAGCCACTCAAAACGAAGAGTAGCCGGAGACCGACGCAACGACCCACTGCAGAGACCCACCTTGGCCTTGCTGCTTTCGTTGCCCTGCAGACTGGTCAGGATCTGTTGCTCGATGGCGCTCACCCAGCCTTCCCGGTCCTGCAATGAATCCAAGCAAGTTCCGCCTTCCTCCGGCCTCAAAAAGAGAAACCCTTCTGTGGTAAAACACTACATCCTTGAGGTACTTCTAACACCGAAGCACCAAATACATTCGGCTAACCACGGCCACTAATATGGCTGAAGCAAGTTCCAGCCCAAGCAGTGGGAAGCAACATTTCGTTTGCTGTCCTATTCACGTTGGCGAAAGGCAGATGCAACTGTGAGGCCACAAAGAAACAATAGTTTTTAGACTATGTGCAAGATACTACATAATATATTAGAATAGAAACACTGTGTGGCAATTATAGATATGATTACAAAAGAACAAAATGAATATACATTCAAAAATAAAAATAAAAACTGGACTTCTAAGATTACTATAGCAGTTCTACAGTTGCCTGCATGAATAACAATAGACCATTTGCTATATTACCCAAGTATCAAGGAGAATGCAGGGATTGGTGTTCCACGCGCCACATGCGCACGCCTTCCCCGTATAAAATATTCAAAGTAAATAACCAAAATAAAGCGTTGACGAACGCGCGTGCAAGATACAATTTGTTTTAGGTTTTTGCTTTAAAAAAATTTACTACATATTGCTGAGGCCAGCACGTGCGGCGCGTGGAACACCAATCCCTGCATTCTCCTTGATGCTTGGGTAATATAGCAATAGGTCTATTAGGAGACAAACAATGATTACTATCCTTTCGGCAGGAGCACTATCAACGTACGACAAAAAATAAAAGCTTTATGGCACCCACATGTTGTATTAATATGTTACTATCTCAAGTACTTATACCCCCAGCACTGAGCTTGCCACAATGTTTATTTATATTGTTACGTTACAGCAGAACCTCCCTACAATAACGCCGGCCTTTTTAAAGCTCCTCAAGTGCCAGGTAGCACTGGTACCAGTTTCATAAACTTGCTGGAACTTTCCTTCACACTAAAGATAAGTTACCGATATCCACCCGTAATTCTGGTAGCACACGTGTTTAGGGAACCGATCCGGTAGCACTAAAAACACTGACATAGAGAAGGGTTTTCGTTTTGTAAATTAAATTTACGATAGTAGCGTTTTACCATACCGCTAATCATGTCATCCATTTTCAGCTGAACACTCCGCTATAAAGAAAAGGCGCAGACTTACATCGCCGCTCGAAGCTTCGAACTGCCACTGCTTGTTGTCAAGGGACACAATGATGAACTCGTAGCCGTCGGAATCTGCAGGAAATAAAACCCAATCTCAGCATGGATAGGAGACCTCAAGAACACCCGTCAGCTCATCGATTTATTTAAAAGCATTAACTACTAAGCACCTTTGCAAATATTATGCCAACCCAATCATTCTTTTAAAAAAATGCTTTTTTTGTTTGTATTTTACCTTTTACATACTGCAACCTTCTATACCCACACCCTCTGTGATGCCCTCTGGGGCTTGACAGTATCGAAATAAATAAATAAATAAAGTGGTACCAGGATGAAATCTCTAAAGGATATGCCCCTGTGAGGGTTGCGCTTAGACTTGCATGGAATACTTCAAAGCCCTTCACTTTCAAGGTCCCAAAGTTTTTGCGAATGAGGCGGTGGAAATTTTATTTATTTATATATTATTTAATTTATTTTAGCTCAGATTTTTGTTACTATTTGAGTTTGAGTGCCTCCTGCCAACATGCCTATTAGTACTGAAGCATTTAAGGCCGGCCAGGTGCCGTCTTCACGCAGTTCCGAATGCCACCGCTATGATCGCTGTTTTATTTGACAAAGACAACCAACTCTCGCGCGTCGGGTTTCCCAAAATTATTTTGTGTTCCCCACGGCTGCCAGACCTTGGAAACGCAAACTCAGTGTCCGCTGTTCCCGTTCCCGGTGTGGGTGCAGCCCCAAACCATCTTTGGATCACGGGATGACCGTCGCCCATTGTGCGCAACGAGGAGAATTCCGCCGTCCTTCGGGCTGGGAACAATTCCCCCTCCGATCGACTACGCTTGGGGTAAACCAAAGGCCACGGGACCGGCGGCGGCATCACAACCAACTGGAGAGGTAGGTGTCTTTGGAGAGCAGTGGCTTCACCAACCGATGAACGGACGGTTCCAGAATGCAACCATTTGCTATGAAAGGGTCCCCCACACGGGAAGTTGGTTTGTGCTCTCTACTGCGAAAAAGATGCATTGAACAGTGTGTTTCGCTAATACGCTGGCTCTACGTTCTTCCTGGGACGCCTGCCCGGGTCTTGTCCCCAGCCGAGATGCAACCTGCTCGATGGGCAGCGGGGACAACGGTCGAGTCGCAACAGCTTTAACGAAGGCCCCGACAAAGCAGCAAATACAGAAGGATGCCCACGGTGAAAAAAAAAGGCTTCCCCATTACTGCATTCCTCACCTAGCGGAAATTTGTTTCGTTGTGTGTGTGGCCCAGCCTCACCTTTCTTTCTTAAAATTGGGTTCAAATTGCATTGGAAGAACACGGGCAAGACCGTAAAACAAATGCCGGTTTGTTATATGCGGTGTTTTGTTACTTCTGGGTCCATTACAAGCGGAGTCATTTTTAGGATGTAAACTAATTGCGCCGTGCGCATGTTCAGACCGCAGGAAGTTAGTCAGCCCCATTGAACTCCTTGCATATCTACCCTAGGTTTAGTCAGTTGAGTGCAGACGCTAGCCCGGGGTCTTCGACTTCGGCACCACGCACTAGTGATACACGACCGCACACCAGTACGATGCTCGTCCAGATCAAAACAGGCAGGGGTGAGGATTGACCCCAGGATCTCTGGGTTCAGCGGTGCAAGCTTTCGCTCCATGTGCTCCGAGCCGCAGTGCGTTACCACAATCTGCTACCTATCCCCCCTTTATATTGTCCAAAAACAAGCATTTTTCTGGCGGTCACTGACTATGTGTACACTCTGTACGCAAAGAGTGTATATTTTTTGCAGACAGCCTGTGTACAGGCTGTCCGCAAAGAGGTCTGACGTTCTCCATTCCCCACCTTCCATTGCCTCGAAGTTCTTGGCACCCGTGCTCTTCATGCGCCGGTGCCGCTTCTTTACGATGGGCGTCTCCAGCTTTGGGTTGGTGTTTGGCACCGCCGGGATCAGGTGGGTCTCACTCCCGTTCAGCATGCCTGGCGGGACACAAAGAGACGCGCGACTGTCTCGATCGGTCATGTGGCAAGTATAGCATTACAAAAGTGAGCTGGTATAGCAAGTGAAGCTGGAAGTATGGCCCACGGCTATCTAACAAATTGTCCCGTAGGTACACCCAGACCAGTTAATGACGTATTATTTGTATTCAAACGACCATCTGTATTTTTTGTTTAGTAGCACCATACGCACACTGATACAGGGATGTCTCGTCAATATGGACACCCGCATTCCTCCAAAAAAATTGTCCATAACGCAAGTTGTCCATAATGAGACAAAAATGCGCATATTTTCCCAGTTTGCCCTTGAAAATGGTGCCCATATAGCGGGGTATCTACATTAACTGGGTCCATATTAACGAGACATGACTGTATTGACATCTAATAAAAGTTTGTAGCAAATTGCTGGGAAATTGTGTTGTACGTGAAACATTCCATTATCGCTCTGGAATGTTACCAAGCCCGGCGCCTACGCTCACAGAGCTTGTCAGATAACTTAACACGTGGCATCTAAACTTAACAGCAGTTCCTGGAATAAAGATATTAACAATAGTCAGGGTTTAATTTTTTCTCTTTTTTGTCTATCTTTCTGGTCAAGTGACCCCCCCATCAGCTGATCGGCATCGAGCTTTGCGGCTTCACCTTTATCCTGGCTTTACTTTTGGGGTTTATCTAAATCTGAGAACCTGCCTGACTAGACAGATAAATTTTCACGTTAGAAAGACTCTGTTGCTCGTTTGGCTACGAGACAGACGTAGAGACTAAAAGAAGACGCAAGGTGACCTGCAACTTTGTCAGTTTGCATCCGTCCTCTCTGCACCTTTGCGCTCGTCTCGGGTCCTTCTGCATCCAGGATGGACTCCTCTCCTCAGGTTCCCTGCCTAGCTGACCCCCCCCCCCTCCCCCATCTTAAGCTGATCATTGTTCCTAAGTTACTAGGGAGGATATAGAATGAACCCAAGCATTTAAGACCTGTGTCATTTCAAGTCTCACAAACAACTGCGATTTATGTGACGCTAAAGCTACGTACTCACAATCTCTGTTTATCCCAAAATGGTGAGTGTAGCAAAGAAAATAAGAAATATGCCGCACTCCATTTCAAACGAAGTGAGAGCATCCGAAGGTCGTGGAACATTGCGCATGATTACACGGAGCATTTCGGTCAGCCGCAAATTAGTACACAAGACTAAGCCGCGAAAAGCACAAAATTGCAGGCAAACTGTTTATCCGCGTATTTGTCTGCGATATTGATTAAATATAAGTGTCTTAAAATTGACGAGGTTTGATTTACTTATTTATCATCCCAGATGACTGATGCACGCTTCAGAGTACAATGTGACAGACTGACAATGCAACGCTATGCAAAAAGCTCGTATTGCCCAATACATTCTCTACATAAAGAAAGCAATTACAAACAGCATTGCATAGAATAGTTATCTACGTAAGACTACCCAGACTTACCCTTTATACAAGAAACAGAAAGATATAACACAAACTAAATGAGGGTAGTGTCAAAATTAAAACAGCAAGAACCACCAGCCACATTCTGCCAAAAACGGCCGAACACACATGCACACGCAGCAGCAGAAAATAGGCAGAGAAAATGTCGGACAGAAAACAGAGCGCAAGCAGCAGGTGTTGCAATGACCTCCCTCTGTGCAGCACCCACCTGAGGAGAGGGAGTGACCGGGGTCCTGACCCTCCCTGATGGGGTCAAAGGTAGTGGGGTCACGGTTCCTTTCGCGGTCCCTATACTTGAAGAAGGGCACCCCTGGGTTCCAACAAGCCAATGGCAGTGCAGGGCAGGCAAAACGTTAGTGGTGCTCTTTCCCAGTTTGCTCCCAATGAAACCTTGTACTAAGCGAGAAACCCGAGGAAACACGCACAGAAAAAGAGGTGATCAGCTTTCGGACACGCAGGGCTTCTGTCTTTTTCCTGCACTTCTCGTCTCTTTCCCGTCTTCTCTTTCCTGCAGTTCCTCCGTCTTGCAATCTTCTAATGTTGCAAGTTCACCAGCTCAAGTGTGTTTTTGAGTGCTCTATCTATATTTAGTAAGACTGTTCATTCTGATGCTATTTTCATATTCTCCATGTTAGCCTCTAAAAAACAAATGATACAAACTGTTTTTGAACAGAGGCTGCACACCTACTTTCCCACACAGCACAAAAAGAGCCAAATATTGTCATTTATACACCGTTTGAATGTTTACAAGACTATGATCTTGTAAACGTTCGAACGGTGTAGTGCGGTTAACACGGCGGAGCACGCACAAGTCCGTCGATTTTGAAAGCATGCGAGCCCGCACCATAAGCACGAACACTGAAAATGACAGTGCCCGGAAGTTGGATTTTGGAACGGTCTATGCAAGGACAGCAGCCGATGAGGAGGAGGCAGAAAGCATGTTGGGTCTCAAAAGAGTAACCTCCAGTGGGATTCTGAGCCCCTAAATATTGCACTCAGCAATCCAGCAAGTGATTGAAGCACAAATGTTAACTGTGCCTCATCACTCGGTGGTATCGTTCCCGGACCGACAACGACGGGCTCTTTCGTGGGCTGTGCAAAAATGCAGACGCGCTGGATTGCTTTTCATTCGGTGCTCATGGGGAGAAGTCGATTTCTGCTTGCCTCGGCCAATAGAGACGTGCAATATCCTATTAATGAAGATGAGCACTATTAACTACACTCTGCAAATTGCTAACCTTTCTTAGGGCAGAAGTGCCTCGAGCAGTTTTTTCGCCGAAAAAAACAACAACGTAATACTACACTCCATGGAGCCACGAGCAGTTTCCACATCGGTGCCATTTGGCCACTAGACACAGAAAGCGACGCCTAAAGGCCTAACCACTTGCATGATCAATATATTTAAAGGGCAAATCCGCTCAATTCCAAAAAATTTAGGCTTCCATGTGATTCACATTCACAAAGCACTACTAAACACAACTCTACGTCTTCGGATTCGCAAATGTGGAATATTATTTGTGTAATCCTAATTTAAACATCAGCAGATACCGAAACTGAAACTTCGGTTGCGTCAGGAAACATAGGTCTCGGGTCGTCAGAGTCATGGCCACGTCACGTCGAACCACGTGGTCTTGTGACGTTCGGGAGGGAGCGAGAAACAGGACACGCAACGCAAACAAATCTTTTTTTGTTTTTTGTTTTGTTTTTTGACGCGGGCAGGTTGCTTTCATGGCGCGGATGGTGATGGCCCGGGGGAGAGGGGGAAGGGGAGAAGACGAAAGAGGAGAAGGGGAGCGGAGAAACAGACCGATAAGCGCGCAGGGCAGCGCAAACTAGCGCATCCGTGTTACGGTGATCACGTGAACGCCCGGTCAGCCAACACCGGGAGGAGAAACTCATGACGTCATCGTTCAATTTCGCTCTGGGAAGTAAAAACAAGCAAAACGAGAAAATGACGTAGTCATGCCTCTGACTTAGTGGTTCAACGTTGGCCGCTCCAACTCCGTGGCATTGACTGCGCTGATGATTGCGCCGCACGCTAGAGTTGGCAGATTTCGGCGACTTGGCTCACTTGAAGGTTTGTTGGCCAGTTTATTAAATATATAAACGGAATTAGATCGTAATATTTGACATGGGGTCTTCCTGTATGATACTAAAGAGGGCTACATAGTTTTCTAAATATCAAAAATGAAGCGGAGTTGCCCTTTAATGGACAAAATGTAGGGCTGGCTAATGCTTCAAACCAAGCTTTGTTAGCCGTACACACCGCGCTCACTTCTGTAAATTCCGTGAGAACAAAGCCATCATGCTGGCTTGGCTTGGCCACTTAATTGGCTCGGCCACCTCGTGGCTTAGTCGTGCACCGCGCTTGTTAAACATTTTTCTCGACCGTTCACCCCGTAGACAAAAGTGGTAAAGCGTGTGCGGGTGCGAGTTAAGTTTGTTCGGCATAATTGCGAGGCTTTTTCATGCTCCCAGAGTTTGCAGATTTCTCAAGCACATAAAACAATCCCTCGGGTTAACCAGTCCAGAGTTTAAACTTCAAATTACTGCACATTTTGTCCCACAGACTTGCACGCGTAATTGCCGGGACCGTACCCTGCTTCAATATAACCCCAAATTCTAATAAAGGGACTGAATTATTGCTAGTAGACTGTATAGAAAGACTCTGTTACAAGCACATATTGAGGCAAATATGATAACTTACTTTCTTTGAGATAAGTTTGGCTACACACACTCCTGTAGCAACTCTTATCAACGAAACTGATTATGAAACTAAATGAACCTCTCCACGGCAGCACCAACGTGCTTTAGAATATAAGCGCTACCCACCAAACAAACAAGTCCTTGGCAGAATCGGAGTAGAACCTCAATAATACGGGGATCCTCAAACTTGACCGATAGTTAAGAAAGGACACTACACAAAACAGTAAACTTTTGAGCCTTTGGCTTAGTAGGAATGAAATTCACAGTATATACTGGAAGTTGCAAGGCAGGGTCCAGCGCAAAGTTTCATCTGTGTACATAAATTGTGAAAAAAATTAGTTATTTTTATCAAAAACACATTGACATTGTTTAGGAAAACTATAGTTCGAAAACAAAAACACTTTTCTTCTCCACGTACGCCGTATAATGACTGGAGAGTGCAACTGTGAAAACAAAATTTCCAGAAAGCGATTTATTTTATGCTTAAAGGGGTACGGAAATGAAATTTCAGCGCAAATTCCTAGCTTTAACGTATTGCATGTTGCAGCATAACCTCAAAAATACCAGTCTTTCGGTGAAAGGCACACGAAAACTAATTTTAAAGCTAATTAAACAATCTTTCAATGTGCACCTGGTGGATGCATGTGCAGCCTATCCGGGAGGCAATCTAGCAATGTTGGGGAACTTTCTACGCAGTCATGACGTAGCAAGTACAATCGGAGCAGCGCCGCTCTTTGGAATTCAACATTGTCCTTCATAGCTTTCCTCAACTCACAAATCGCGCATTGTACCAAACACTCGTTTGTGTACCAGGACACAGCCATTCTCCCCCTAGAAGATTAGCCCATCACTCAAATATTTGACAAAAGTTGTTTTTCCCACTCCGTTGACCCCTAAGCTGACAGTGTTGTGGAAGTTACGTGCTCCTTGGGCGAGCCGCAAGCTCGTCACCCCACGGGTACTTCGAACGGCTCTGTTGTAACGCGTTGATGCTATTGACACCACCAAGACGCTTACAATGCCACCAACGGCAAAGCTCATAACCATGTCAGCCTTGCTATGTTACGAGTGCGGGGAATTTTTTTTTTCTGTTTTTGTTTGCGCCGGATATCTCCATGACGCATCGCGCTCTCCGTTCACTTCTTGTCGAGCGCTTGCTCGAGTGTACCGTTACAAAAAATATAGCCAGTCGTTCAAAATACAGACAGGCAATTATCATTTACGGATATTATCCGTCGTGATCTAACTCATTTCCGAACGAAATTTGAATATTTCAATTTTCGTTTCCATACCCCTTTAACATCTTTTATCGAAGACATCCAAAAAGTAAAAAAAACAATGCCACAGTTGCATTACCCATCAATTCCAGTTAGGAAAAACAATAAGTGAGCTGAACATGATTGTAAACCTGAGACTGGGGCAGGAAGAGAACACAACAGAAGGTAGTAAAAGAGGAGGCAACGTCTCAAAGAGACGTTGCCTCCTCTTTTACTACCTTCTGTTGTGTTCTCTTCCTGCCCCAGTCTCAGGTTTACAATCATGTTCAACTTACACCAGCTATGAACTGTATTAAGGTGGCGATGCAAGCGAGTTGGTTCATGACTTCTGAAATTGGAAAACAGCGCGCAAAAAAACGAAGACGACGAGAGAAGAGCACAGGACAAGTGCTTCAGAAGCCAATGCATGCATGAGGCATGCATGGCTTCTGAAATTGGCTTCAGAAGCCAATTTCAGAAGTCATGAACCAACTCGCTTGCATCGCCTCCTTATTACACCAGCTCGCCTGCACTCTGACTAAGTATTTTTTCGTTAATAAGTGAGCCTTTCCTTTTGACCCATTACCAAACGATAGTTCTCCCAAAGTGAAGTTTATGGCGAAAAGTGGAGTAGAAAACACTTTCAGCCTTTCCACTCTTGTGAAGAAGGAAGAGCAGAGGAGCTTAGCTTCTGCTGCTCTTCCTTCTGAAGAAGGAGGAGCAGCGGAGGTGAGCGATCTGCTCTTCTTTTGCAAGAGAATCTGAATCAGAGTGTTGTGTCGACCACGGGTGTCGACATTTGTTTGGTACCAAACACGATCCTGGGGAAACTAGCCCTTAACAGCCCCGCTGTAAAAAGATGTGTTCAAAGTGCTCAAACCTCTACCTTTTCTTTGGCATTTAGCATAGGTGGAGCAAAAATAACTTATAAAAAAATAATTATGCAGTGCAAACAAATGATGACAACTAGTGATAATAATGATAATGATGATGATGATAAATAAATATGCACTGTAAACAAATGTCACTCGAAGCATGTGAAATTGATTAGGAATCTTGTAAAAGAGTGAGTACAAAAGTCTTGCTCGCATTCAATTGGCTCATCTCGTCATTCTCTGACCAAACGTTTTGGCATTGCGGGTTATCCCTAGGAGCTCATTTTAAGACAATTGGTGTATCTGCTATCTCCAAAAAAGACAGTTAAAAAATGTACTAGACCTTCGAAGCGGGTTGTCCTTCCGTATTTTCATAGAGCGTCTCAACTTCAATGTCAACACAGCCTTTAGCACGAATTATAGATTGAACCATTTGACCTCCTTGGCGTCGACTCTTTCAGGTTGCGTGAAAA